TGGGGTCTAATAGACCTTAATCAAGGTGTTCTCGGTTGAGAACACTTCGATTAAAGTTCGTTCGACTTCAAAGAGGTCAAGTCCGGTTCGAGACTGGGTCATTTTTGTTCTTAAGATTCAGAGGTATTTTTCCTTTCCTTCCTTCTGTTCATGTGTTCTATTTGTATCTCTTTGCATGTTTTAGTAGTTTGTGTGATTTTTCTACTTTTCTTTTAATTAATTCTGTTCATCTTCAGTAGACCTTTTATTTGGTCCAATTCTATCATTGCTTCTGTTTGTTGTAATTGTTATGTGTTATAATTTGTGTAATCGATTGAATAAGTGATGTCGATTAGTCCGGTAGGATTGAATATTAATTTAACATGATAGTAGTGTAATGTTGGTTTTGATTTCATGGTTCATGCTAGTCTGTTTCCCCTCCTACTTCGTTTCTATCCTAAATGTTGTGTTGAAACGAGCTTGTGGGTATATTCACTTCGTCACATTGTTTTTGCTTGATCATTTGAAATGTTCTGAATTGCTTGGTCAATCGAACTGCTTCATCACTGCTGCTATTTTGGTTGTCACCTAAACATGTTGTGTCATGCCCGGTCAATCGATAGCCTTAGCCTTTATTTTGTTGCTGTTTGATTCAAGTTTAAGCAATTAATGAATCGAATCCTACTGTCTAGGGTCTGAAATGAATCTGACAACTGATTTGAATTCAGTATTGGTGATAATGTCAACTAGATAGTAGTGAGTCATAAGGCTGCATTCAGAACTTAGGAGCATTGGCTATAGCTGCAATTTCAGGGATTTTAGGAGGGTAATTTGGGAATTGAAAACAGGGAAGATGGGTGGTTTGAGTGTTCTGTCCACTAAGTATTAAAATACCATTAAACTAATGAATTGATTAGTATTAATGGGGAACAAAAGGGAATGGGGGGCTGAAAATAAGGAAAAGTTTTCCTTAGTGGATTTTAAGTGGAAAATTTCAGATTTAGTGGGGAAAAGGGGGTCGGGCAGTAGGTTTGGAAGGAAGGCAGACTTGTATAAGAGGAGAGGATGAGGTCAATCAAAGTGGGGAACATTCTGAGAGGGGAATTGAAAGAGCTGGGAAAGTTGAAAAAATAGCTACTGTCTTTTTCATTGCCTGGTTTAGGATCTGAAATAGCTAGAACTTTCTCCCTTTTACTTCTGCTATATACTTGGGGAAGTATAAAACTGCTGGTTATTTGTTGTTGCGCTGCTGTTGCAACTTCTGAATGCTACTGCTATTGTTGGTTACTGCTGATACCTCATTTTTCTGCTTCCTTCTTTTATTTCCAGGTACATTTTTATTCTACCCGCTGTAAACCCTTCTGTGAAATGGAAATCTGAAGCATGTTGGCCATTTAACCTCATTAGAAGAGTTTAATTCTGTCTTTATTTCAAGTTTTAGTTTGAACATATTTGCATTTGAATGTTGGTCAGTGACAATGCTTCTAGAGGTTGAGTTTGGTTTAAAATAGATATGGGATTCGATTCTGGTCGAATATTTTGTAATCTAAAACCAGCATTGTGTAAATGGACCTGGTCATAATGTTTAAACCTGTTTAAAAAGTCAGGACAGCATGTTTGCTTAGTTAGGTCAGTAATGGAGTTCTGCATATAATTTTGAGTAGTCATTTGCTTAATTAGATATTGAATGATCAAATATCACTAGATATGGTAGCTTCTGCGCAGGAGCAACGTGATTAATTGCGTTGTTGTGAAACTGAAATGGCTAAATTTCATTCCCTTTTGTTAATCGTTGAAATTGGAGTGTAATCCTGCTTTCATAATCAAACCATTATTATGTTTGATTCGTTTGGCTTTTAAGTTTAAATGGAAATCTGAAGTATGTTGAATTACGATCCTCCATTTCTGCTGCAATGGATTTGTCGTAATTTCGAAATTTGGTTGGTATATGTTTGTTTAAGTTATTTCGATGGCTATTCTCTTTTAAGGGTTTTAGATATAAACTAGTAATCATTTTAAGCCAGCAATAATCGGCGGATCTGTATTGTTCTCTTGGTACGTAAGAATTGAATAAATATAATTTGCCTCCTCTGTATTTATTTAAACATTTGCTAGTATTCATAATTTTGCTACAATATTATGTAGCTTCTATCTTTAGTTGGAAAAATAAGCTGTTTGAAAAAATATGAATTTCGTTAAATTGAATTTCCATTACCTCACTAATTGATAGGTTGCTTGGTTAGCATTTACTTTGGTTAGGTCGGTTGTTAATCTTAGGAAGATACAAAATTGGATTGGGATTAAAACAAACATGATCTATTGGTTCGAGCCATTTCGCATAGGCATTGGTAAAGCAATTAAGTCATAAAGCTAGCATATTTTTTCCATTTAGCAAAATAATCACTTATGAACATCCTTAGTTCGTTTTGGCTGAGTAAAACAACTCGAGGTGTGCCATGTTGAATAAAGTCCCAAAACTCATGGCCCTCATTTAATTAGTTTTAACTCTTTAGAAATTGATATTTGCCATTTTGTTAAATAATCTATGGCCCTCAGATAATTAATAATAACTCTTTTATAATTGGGATGCGCCGTGCCAAATAAAAATGACAAATGCGTGGCCCTCATATAATTATTTCTTTCAAAAAAAAAAACTTAAAATTTGAGGCGTGCCACTTAGCTAATTTTCAGGGCCCTCGCAAAGTTAATAACGCGTTAGTTGCTTTAGGCACATTTAATATATTGTCGTGGTTGTGGACACGTTCGCGTGACATGATTACAGTTCTAAAGACAATTCGGAGTATGCGTTCGCGCAACTTTGAACAAATCTTCTCAATAAAAAATGGATTTTCGGAGGTTATTAAATTAAATTATCTCATATAGTCCAAGGTGCGCCGCTTACCATTTAATCATACAAAAAATGACAAATGTTCGTAGTTTGTTTTAAGCACGTGCAACTTCGGCCAAGTTCATTTTTTTTAATAAAAATGTTATTAATTTAATTATGTACACATACTCGTGACATGATTCCTTACATACAAAAAATAAAACGAATATATGTACGCGTGATTCGTTTCAAGACAATTCTATAATTACAAATAATCAAGCTAAAAGCGGTAATAAAAGTTAAAAATACGCAATAATTTTAAAATGTGTAACAAGTCAGATAATTAGGCCAAGTATAAATTGTTAAGCGACCGTGCTAGAACCACGGAATTCGGGAGTGCCTAACACCTTCTCCCGGATTAACAGAATTCCTTACTCGAATTTCTGGTTCGCGAACTGTTAAACAGAGTCATATTTTCCTCGATTCGGGATT